GGGCTCTAGAGCGCAGGCGCAGTAGTTGTGGCGCATGGGCTTAGTTGCTCTGTGGCATGTGGGATCTTCCCGGACCCATGTCCCCTGCACTGGCAGGCAGATTCTTAACCACTGTGCCACCAGGGAATCCCTGTAACAGGGTTTTTAAACCCAGGATATAAGTTCATTTCCTCACATATACCACCATTTGTCTTTTAACGAACAGAAGAGAAGTTAGAAACTTCTAAGATCCCTCTACTCTCTCAGGAGTCTATATGCTTGCCTCTTCGTTGGATTTGGTTTTAGAGTTTGAGTAAATAGCTCCTGTGGTAGAAAGGATGTTATGAAACAATCGGACGTTACTGTTTGGTTTTGTTTTCTGGGTTTTTTCCAGATTGTGTGTGTGTGTGTGTGTGTGGTAAAATACACATAACATAAAATTTACCATCTTAACCATTTTTTTTTCTTTTTCTTTTTTTTTTTTGCAGTACGCGGGCCTCCCACTGCTATGGCCCCTCCCGCCACGGAGCACAGGCTCTGGACGGGCAGGCTCAGCGGCCACGGCCCATGGGCCCAGCCGCTCCGCAGCATGTGGGATATTCCTGGACCGGGGCACGAACCCGCGTCCCCTGCATCATCAGGTGGACTCCCAACCACTGCGCCACCAGGGAAGCCCCATCTTAACCATTTTTAAGTGTACAATTCAGTGGAATTAAATACATTCATAATGTTGTGCAGCCATCAACACCATCCATCTCCATAACTCTTTTCATCATGTAAAACTGAAACTCTGTACCTGTTAAACAGTATCTCTGCATTCTCCCCTCCTCCCAGTCCCTAGCAACCACCATTCTGCTTTCTGTCTCTAGGAATTTGACTACCATAAGTACCTCATATAAGTAAAAGTACTTGTCTTTTTGTGACTGACTTTATTTCCTTTAGCATAACATCCTCATGGTTCATGCATGTTGTAGCATGTATCAGAATTTACCTTCTTTTTAAGGCTGAATAATATTCCATTGTATGTATATACCACATTTTGCTTAGCCATTCATGTGTCAGTGTACACTCAGGTTGCTTCCATGTTTCAGTTGTTATGAATAATGACACTATCAACATGGATGTACAAATATCTCTTAGACCATGAATTCTTTTGGGTATATACGTAACAGTGGAACTGCTGGATCATGTGGTAATTGTATTTTTAATTTTTTGAGGTAACACCGTACTGTTTACACAGTGGCTGTACCATTTTACATTTCCATCAGCAGTACACAAGGGTTCCAGTTTCTCCACAGTCTCACCAACAATTGTTTTTTCTTTTTTTTTTTTGATAGTAGCTGTGAGATTATAGGGACAAAAAATATGTGTATATAACTTCCTCTGCTGCTGGCATAGAGCTACTAAAACCTGTGTAGTTTCCTAAGTGATAAGAGCACTAGGAGCATCTTTTGTCCTAATGTTTCATCTTTGACCTTCAGTTTCTGACACAGAGCTTCTACATCCCTTGACATTTCCTAGACAATAGAAACATCTTTAGTTCTAATGTGCTGACTCTTGGTGGGCTCCTGGAT